CTAAAAAAGCTTTATAGGCCTATATCTATGAGGCATCGCCCTAAGGTTGAAAGGCATAGGCCTATAGATGAAAGTTACTTCCCACAATGGTTCAAAGCATTTAAAGTATACTACCTCAACCTCACCCTTTAACACTTTATTCGGGTTGACATTTTAATTATCAAGGTGCTCTTGTCCTTTTCGCGGCACTGAGAAATAAGGACATAAATGCGTTACCAACAAAACACACAAAAATACAGAACTTAATTAGGGAATTTGCTACGTTTTAAGCATAACAAAGTACGTATAAAATTAGTACCGGTATTTGAAATTTGTATTAATGTCATCAAATTTTATCATACCAATCTATATTTACTTGGACCGAAGATGACCCGAAATGCTGTCGAAATGGCGTCTTACTATATGAAATGAAGTACTATAGACAATTTAGATTGGTAATTTATAATAAAAATTACCAAAATAGGCCACAAACTATTGCTACATAAACAACGTAAATCATAAACAATTCATGATGGTTTGCTAAACAAATGTTTTACTTAAATGAGTAATCATTTTCTTAGCATAAACTAAAATTTTGAATCCGGACAGAAAAAGCAAAACTTATACAGTTAAGACATCAATTAAATTGAGTACGGCTATAATACGACTGTATAAATAAGGTGAACACCAACGATAACTAATTGTAAATTACAGTGATGTGTTGGTAAGTAAAAATGATTCTGGCTGCTACCAATGGTTCTAAGGAAAAGAACCAGTACCAAAAACAAACGTTTACGGTTAAGAATTACGTCCGACAAATTAAATGCGTTAATCAAGTCCCAAAGTTGTTGATTTCTTGGTTTTGGATTTTCTCGTAAAAAGTTTATTGGCAATCAAAGTTATTTCCCATTAATTGCTTTATTCGTAAACAACTTTTAATGTAAAATGATTGGTGTCAGTTTGAAAAAAAACTACCTCATACAAACAATTAACTGTTTGTTATTTAATAGATTACGTAGGCCTATTCTCTAAACAATGATTCGTATATCTTTTAACATTAGAATGAAATATGACAAAAATTACACAACACTGGGTTTTTAGACGTTTGTAATTTTATTTCAAGTAGGGAGGCCGTGTATTCTAGGGAAAATTACCGGTATCAAGGATCGTCGTCGAAAAGGTTGTTATGAATGATTGGGTAGGCGTAAGTACCCAAGAGATGGGCTATGGGCCTATTGGCTGTATGGTCCGGCGATTGCATCATACAGTGAGTAGGAACAGAAAGTGACACCGGAAAAGCAAGTTTAGCATAATCCATAAACCGTAAACCTCTGTTACAATCACCCACTGCAGTTGTGGTGTTTTACCATTGACTATATAACACTACACTACGTAGTGTAATATAGTCAATGGTTTTACTTTACACTTTACACAACCGCCATTGAAGCACCGTCAATGAGTGGAATCCTTGTTAGTAAGCTATTGGTGACGATCATTAATAAATTCAAGTTTCCCAGCCCTATACAACACTGATTCAAGGTCTTCTTTCGGGTTATCAAAACTCAAGAACAATTTTACACACAAAGAATCTCTGGTTCCTGACCTGGATGATGCCTAGTTATTAATTATTTCATTTACGGTTACACTATATTATTCCACTTGCGATTAATTAAATCCGTTATGTAAGACAACGTTTTTAATGTCACTTGGATGGGATTTACCTTCACAACGTGATCGGAAATGGTTGCGGTATTTGTAAACAACATTTGTAAACATATCAGTGACAGCTAGAAAAAATAATCTTGATCCGGACAGCTGTTCGTTATTTCATGTATTTTTCTAGTAATCGTGGATCATTATGTGATAAAAATTGGACGAAAACTTGACAAAAATCGCACAAAACTGCATTTTTGAACGTCCGTAATTTTATTTACTAAGTAGTGGGGCCATATTGTAATGGGTAAAGACACTCTCACCAATCCAGTGAATACATTAAAATGACTTGGATCTTGATAGGTACTCTCGTTTTCCTGGAGAAGATTGCGTAAAATGCCATCTTGAGTGTTACAGAAAGACAGAAAGACAGACAGACAGACAGACAGACAGAAATTTAGATGAGACTTGTTTCGGCTTCTTTAATGTATAAAACGTAAAAATAACCTACAAATTTATGATTCTGAGCAATGTACAGACAAAACTCAAATTTTATTTATATAGAAAACCGCAATAGATAGAAATATGCAGTTTGCGGGAATCATCTATTGACGTCGCGGGCCCAATTGTTTTGAATTCTACGTTACATCATAGATGAAGTAATATAATAATAATATTATATTACTTCATCTATGGTTACATTCACATTCCCCCCATTTCCCCCCTGCCCCCAACTTAATTTTTTTAAATAGCAAGGTACCCCTTGTGACATATCAAATGAAAGAGCATAAAAAAAGAAAATGTATGATGAAAAAAATTTAAAATCGGTTCATAAATTTGCGAGATATTTCCCCCTCCCCCTCCCCGGAACTAAATTTTTTTTTAATAGCAAGGTACCCCTTGTGACATATGAAATGAAAGAGCATGAAAAAAGGAAAATGTTTGGTGAAATTTATTTTTAATTTGATATGTCACAAGGGCGGGTACCTTGCTATTAAAAAACAAGTTATGGGTAGGGGAAAAGGGGGGGATTATCTCACAAATTCATGAGCCGATTTTAATTTTTTTTTCATCAAACATTTTCTTTTTTCATGCTCTTTTATTTGATATGTCACAAGGGGTACCTTGCTACTTAAAACAATTAAGTTGGGGGCAGGGGGGGAAAGGGGGGGAATGTGAATGTAACGTTGAATTCAAAAAAAATTGTGCCCCTTACGTCAATAGATGATTCCCGCCAACTGCATATTTCTATCTATTGCGGTTTTTACATAAATAAAGATGCAAGTAAAAAAAAAAACACCCTGTATATAGGCCTATCTATTATATTATTATAGTGATACAATCAAATTTTATGTAAACGGTTAAGGTCATTTACCAAGTAAAAATATAGGCATATGGCACATCAAAATGAAGCTTAGAGTGTGTAGATTTGCCGAAAAGTATTGATATGGACGGATATCCTAAGGGCTCTGCCCCACAGGCTGATTCCCAAAGGGCTACGTCTGGCATGCTTCCAATGTTTAAGTGATTTAATTTAATTTAGTTAAAGAAACAGCTGTTCAGTACAATGAACTGGTGTTTGTTTATTTACTCGAAAAATATGTTTGTGACACTTTATGTAGATTGAGGAGGGTTATGTTTGGTTTTAAAGTGAGGTTGTATACGTTTTGTAAAGTATTGCTCAAAGTTTCATATTTTAATTTATATTTAGCTACATGTGAAGACGCTTGACTAAAATTGAAGAATTGTGGTAAAACATGTAATTCATGTAGCATCAATAGGAAGCAATTGATGCTCTTACTACACTAAGGTATGTTGTCATATTCTTACGGATTTATTAACTTCAAAAGAAGAGGGTTGAAAGTAGTAGGTAGGTTTACGCTTTTAAATCACTTTAGCCTATATTTTCAAACTATATCATAGAGTTGCTGTATTTTAAAACACACATCAGCGCCAATTTAATAGCTCTTTAGGTCACATTTCATTCCCGTTGCAAAGCACGGGTATAGCAGCTTGTATATATATATATATATCCATCCGCACGTTAACTTGAGTAATTCTTGTCCGATTTTGATAAAATTTGGTTTGAAGGTGTAAGGCGGGATAAACTTGAATGAGTTCGCGAACCAGCATAATCGGACCATGGGAACGGGGTTCAACGGGGGTTTTATGGGGTAAAAATGGGGTTTTCTCATTTTTTCCCCCTGAAAACACAAAATCTATCAATTTTTCTCCAGAGCCTTGTAAAGAGCTTGAAAAACAAATAATTTAGTACATCAAAGTGTTTTTGTACGATGATTGGTTACGGAGGAAATTCAAAAAATTGTTAATTTAAAATTCCCATGTTATTCTCATGGAGAATATTATAATGTGTTGTAGTTGGCTTGTTTGTGGATATATTTTTATCAAACTTGGCGGATTTATTCATTTCATACTAAGCTATTGATATTTTAATAAAAACACACTTTATTAGTTTCCCTGTAGCAGCTAACCTAGGTAGCCTACTCGTTAAACATATGTTTAATTTAATAGATTAATTAAAAATCAATCCAGGGAAATGGAAATTCGCTAAGTCGGCAGGTTTGCTGCAGCGGGGGTATTATATCTTAGCGCGGCATTGAATCACCAAGTAAACTAAGATTTTGAATGCATATTGTTATAGTACTCCAATTGAATTTTATGTTATATGTTAATATGTTGTACGGTGTTATGCCCATATTTCATGTAGCTTTTCTTGTTCCTGAGCAATTTGAAACTTGTGTACAATTAATTGGCTATTGACCTTTAAATATATTTTTTGTGTTGAATTATAGACGTACTAGACGAAAAAATAAGTTATAAGACTGTTTAAGAAATTTTTGCAAGGTGTCCATAAGTGAAAAGGTTCCTGTGCCGATTTCTATCAAATTACGGATTTTGCACTTACTATTTTTTTTTGCATTTACGTGTTCTATTGGATAGTACGGTATACTAAGTTAGAATATGTCAGTTGGTTTATGTTTATATTTTAGTTGAAAAGATTAATCAAAACTGTTACATTCACAAGAGTAAAAAATATTGAAGGAAAAACTGAAATTTAAATTTTCTTACGTGTATCTCTATTTGCATTGTAAATGTTGACATAAAATTAAATTTAAGTAGAGAGAAAACATTTAAACATTTCTGCTTTTTACATTTTACAGATTTTGGAAACCCCTCAACATTTTTGTCCCCACGCGCTATTTGATAATTTTGAGTATCACGTACGTAGAAACACTTTTTTTCAAATTGGATATATTCCCGCCAAAACCTATATATGACACGCGGACGCGGCTATCCATCAGGCAATTAGCTAGACAGTCTGGATTGGCAAATTAGTCTGTACTCACTCATCGGAGCGCTGAGAAGTTGTATCCTTGTCTTTATGAGCTTGTCCAGATGAACAACTACTGCCCATCTCTCCCAGCCGTCAACGCAGCATATCAACACGACACTCAACGTAACCACTCAACACAGCTAGGTTGACATTCTGCGTCAGCCCGCCTACGCTGTCACTGCCTATTTTTAACCTTAGCCTATTTAGAGCGGCGGATTATTACATTGACAAATTCCCGTCCAGCGTTACGAGGCGGCCAATTTTAGTTATTACTGGAAAAAAAACACTTATCTAAACCAATTTCCCGATTCGCAAAACCCTATAGATCGTTTTTTGCAGATTTTATCATCGGATGATATCAACTGGAGGTAGTTTGAACACATGTTTACACTGCACTAGGTAACACTGGAATATGTACAAGTTGAAACGTATTATCACTGACTTATCGGGCGGCAGCCGTTTCGTCGCTGTCTTAACACAGTGAGCTGTGTCGTCTGCACGCCCCTCGCCATAGCTGCCAGTGCTGCCAACCCAGCGGGCGCTCAGCCAGGAAAATAAATTTCCCTTTTGATTCCCACCTCAGGTAAGCGTGGGATTTTGGACGGGTGGGAAAGACAATATTTTGGTATTTCGTTGGGAATTTTTACTAATCATGCAACATTTCTCGAAATAACGCCACGATTCAACGTAAAGATCCACAAATTTACATGTAAATACTGGTCAAAATAAAACAGGCTTAGTCAAGACTCTATTTCAGCTTCCTTGCAACACTTTTATTTTAATTTTTATGTAACCTACCCAGACATCTACATCTGTGGCTTTTAGTTAGCAAGGAAAATAAAATAAAAACTGTCAAAACCGACCAAACCCCTCAATTTTTTAAAATTCTACGGGGAATCGAACCCATCCTCCTGCGTTGAAGTCAGAAACGCTACTATTTCATTAGGCAACACCATAGATAAAACATAGTCCCCTAAGGAACTATGTTTTATCTATGGCAACACCCTCACTTTGGATATGTTCGGACGATTGTGTATGTTGCTTTTATTACTACGAAGTTTAAACAGTACAACATACCTATACCAACAGGGCAACAGGAAATTAATAATTAATTCAGGTTGATTCTGTATAATAATTTGCACTAAAAATTGCTCCGTCGAAATTCGCTGAAAATCTATATCAACAGTTAGGTATATACCAACTGGAATGATAAACAACATATTAAATTCTGTACTGCAAATAAAGTTAACATGTGGAACTTAAAGCGGACGAAAAATGTATGGCTCAATTCAATAAATTTTCCTTGAGCCCAATTCACACTTAAACCTTTTTGCATTTTTAAAAATTATGAAAAAATTTGCAAAACTAATTAAACATATTTTAAGCGTACACGGTGTTCACATTTTTGTACATCGTTGGAATCGATGCCAACTTTAACTTAGCTTGCACTTTTCGAAGAGGTTTAGTAATTGTAAACTTTTTTAATTGATTAAGGAAAAAGTACTGGGAAAGCAAAGCATTACAAACGACCATCTGTGATAAAGTTTGCCGCTCTTCTGTCTGACAGGCGCTACAGTAATCGATCGAGTAAAAGTGCTATCAGTATTACCAACTGTGCGTCATAGACACACCTGTTAAGGGACTTTATCATCTGCGAGAGACAGCCTGCATCCGCAAGTGGTACCAACGTAACCGTTGATACCTCTATATTTTTATTACGTTTGGCAGGATTCCTTGTTTTTTTTATTTCTAGTTCTAGGTGCACATGGAATAAGCTTTAGCTGGTTTTAACTGAATATATCATCATTTTAGTTTTGAAGTAAAAAAAAAAAATAATAATAACTATTTCATGATAGAAAATTGGATCGAAGAAGGGGGGGGGGCTGTTTAGTTTGAAGGATAGTTTTTCTTAAAACATAATATGCATTCTTATAGTAAAATGAATCCATACTGGGACGGGTGGCGTCGTCCTGTAATCCAGCTACTAGGAGGTCACGAATTGTGGATATTTATAGGCATACACTGTGGATGCGATGCTCCCTGGTGTGGATTAACGTCCGCACGAGTGAGTACTCGACTATCCGCAGTACTATCCTGATAATTAGACCAATTCGTTAAATACCAAGGGAAAAATGTGGTTCGGATTCCACTCTAATCTGTAGGTCCCTTAGTTGCCGTTAGCTATATGGGCTATTAATTAACAGCTGTGTCTAAGGAACATGTCGGCCTTAGTCACTAACAAGACTACAAGATCGCACCACTCATCCTACACTCACCCTTCACTCATATTTGGGTTAAAATACGCACATAGTGGCGTCCCCATCTTAAATAATTGATAATTGATACAAATTAAACAAATTGGCTCTAGACATTTTTGATCGTTAATAAATGAGGAAACAAATTAAAACTATGCGTATTTATTATTCCCTGAGCTTAGTTTTATAGAGATTAAGTAACTTATAATATGTGTAGCATAGTTATTGTATAAAACATTTTAACTAATTAATTATTTTTTCAAGTCGTTTAGTTTGCGACTTGTTAGCAGGGTAAAATACAATAATTTTGGTGTTGCCTTCTACGACCATTGATAATGGGAGCTTTATTCTAACATTCTAAGATCGACATAGTGTTTGGTTTTCAATCCGACGATGCCATCGTCAATTAAGATGACACTGATGACTGATGCTCTATAATCAAAGGCACTAGTCGGCTTCGAAACTATCTTCACTCGCTCTAGTCAGCTGAACCGAACCTTTTTCTTTCAAACCCAGCTCCTCCAGCTGTTTGACAAATTTGGCCAATGGCCAATGAGGTTTTGTATTCATTTACGCTGTCTAATGTCATTTAATAAGTTTTCTAGGTTATTTATAAAAATAATGTTTATTTAAAATTGAAAATATTTTATATCTTGTGATCGTTTAGTAATTTATCATTATAGTCCTATGTATAATTGGTTTTAATTTGCGTAAAAAATCGTATTAATGAGAAACGTCTATAGTTAATGTAAATAAGACTCAATATTTTTCGGTGTTGTATAAGTTAGCCTATTACAGTTAAAAATGTACAAGTTTTTCAGCAATATTCTTTACTACATTGAGAAATATTGTGGTAAGCTGATAGGCTAACTTAGTTTAGGCTTAGATAATTAATTTCAGAAGTAAACAGACAATAAGATCTTATTACTTGGACCAAGCTTTAACTTAGTGCAAGGTGTGGGTACTTAGGCAACAACTAAGTTTTTTTTCTTACTTCCACTGTGTAATCACTTGCACAAGTAGAAATAAAGGTGAGTCGAGTGAAGTATAGCCATAGAGCGGTTGCCGTAATTCCCAAACTGCATGGGATATTATTGACATTGTGAAATAGGTTTGGCAAATTCATCTTGATATTAACTAACCAGACTTTAATACTGCATTTGATGTTAGGGAATGTCCCTTAAAAAACTTTCAAGGTCATTTTTTGAACCCACTAAAGATACAGTTTCTTAACTGGGCCACGCCAATATTGATTGAAACTATCGAATTGAAAATATTGATTAGTAATCGATCATTTATAATATATCTATAGAAAATTAAACTATCATAACTTAACCTAACCAACCAAACTTGCTGATGGTGGAAAAATCGCATGAAGGTTTACTAATCAAATCGATAGTTTCAACCAATATTAGCGTAGCCCAGTTAAGAAACTGTACCCTCCACTAATTTTAAAGTACAACACGGTCCCTACGAGTTCATACGCCAGCCGGCAGTTGATGTGGAAAGTCTGATCACTAGCCAATTATGTAAAGCTTTAAAACTTAGTTTGCTTCTGTGAAACGTCTTTAATTTATTTCATACACTTATTGTATTAACTTACTAATAGTTACCTTGTATTGGGCGCATGATAAGGTTAAGTTTACCTCTGCGTTTGCAAATATTTAGGCCTAGAAAAAAACTGATCAAAAACGAGCTAAGCAATATGGAATTGATTGCATTCTATGGACTTAGACTTTGGAGTTATTGCACTAAATTCAATTCCAGGCATTTTTGTCACGGTAGGCCTATATAGATACTGGTAAAGACAGGCCCGCTTTCTGACCCCACGGATGAGGATGATAATGTCCACAGGATTGTGGGAAACTTCGATTCGGAAAGACGATAATGATCTTGACACAACTACGGGACATGATTAAAATTTTGCCGCCATGGCGGGAGATGATTGTGATTTCTGCAGGACCGCGGGACATACAATATGATTTCTACATGGCCGCAAAGAATGATCAGAATTATGCCGCAATCGCGCAAGACGATGATAATGTCCACATGACTGTGGGAAAAGATCAAATTTAGCCACATTCACGGAAGATAATGATCAGCGGAAGATGAAATTACAATTTTGCCGCAATTGCGGGAGACGATTATGATGTCCACACGGTCGCGAGGGATTATCACAAGTTTACAGCGATCGCATGCAATTAAACAACCATTTTTTCCAAATTTTGGCGTCCCACAAAAAAGCCAGTTGTCCTGCACCCTAGGCACGTGCCTACCGTGCCTATTCGGTAAATCGGCCCTGGGTACAGGTGATTATTTTTGTCAGGGTGCAGTGGTAGCTTCTACGGTATGTCTGACTGATCTAATGTGAAATTGTTTCTAGTGTAGAGTTTTCCATTATTTTGAACCAATTTAATTTGGTGTTTTACTGACACATAAAGTAAGCTTAGTAAATAGTTTATCATAATTTCTATTTATAAGATGTTTCCCATTAAGTTAATGCTCCAGATACATTAATAGTCAACTATAATAGTCAGTAACATAGTTAAGGGTCTGAAAGTATTTAATAAGTGAAATTGAATATTTATTTCTGTTTCAGTGGATTACATTGATGTGGACTACTCACTGTGGGTTTCCTGGCTACTTTTACCTCTGATTGTATCATTTATGCTTCCATTGTTTATTGTTTTACTTTTATACATGAATGCAGTGATACTGTACATTTACAAACTCCATAGGTATGCAAACATTTACCTTCATGCGTGGATCAAATCTTTTTGTCTGGGTTTAATATTTCTTTCTCTAACATCCTTTAACATATTTTGGACAGTTAAGGCTTAGTTACTAAGGTTAAGTTTAGGCTTACAAACTATTAGGCCTACCCAGGGTGCAGAACAGCAGGCTTGTCAATGGCATAGAGGTGGGCGTTATTTAACACAATTGGATACCCCCTACCGCAGCAAATCTGCTAGCCTATTAGGCCTACTGAAGTACCACCCTGGTAATAGATTTCTGAGAATACCCTATTATTTTAGGAACACCGTCTGGACTGTTTAAAGGGATAAATGAAATAACTATTTTGCTGATTTTGTGTTTCTAATAACAGCGAGCATCACGAAATAATAATACCTTGGTATAAGATTACTGAAAATGCAATTTTTTTGTTATGTCATCTGACTGTTAGAACGAGCAAGTGGAATAATGACGATCACGTTCTTCTACTAATGCCAAGCATATAAAAAAATAATATAGTAGCCTACTTTGGTACAGTTTAGCCGTTTATCTGTGCGCGCGGGCCGGTGGTCAGGTTGCATGGCGGGAGGGTGGGAGGGGGATCTTTTATAAAAACATTGGCTACGCCAAAACGGCAACGGGAAGTTGAGGCAGCCCAAACTGGCCTGCAGGTCACCCTAACCGTAGGTTTTCTGCAAGGATAGTAGCGAAGGGTTCGCGCGCACAGATAGACGGCTGAACTATACCTTATACGATTATTTCTGTAACTGTAATGTTGTCTACTGTTAGAACGAGCCAGTGAAATAAAGTTGATTATGACTTCCTATTGACAGCAAGTATTACGAAATAATATAGTAGCCTACTGGTACATTGGTAGTAAAATTATTTGTTGTAATGTAGGCTATAGTTCGGCCGCTTAGAAAACGACCTGCGCGCTAATGCTAAACCAATGCTGGAGGAGGTCGCTTTCTAAGCGGCCGAACTATAGCTGAACCTTTAGAATGAGTAAGTGAAATAATGTCCTTCTCTTCCTACTAAAGGTGACCGGCTGTAATGTTTGACGAGGAATTAATTTGGAGCCAAAATTATTGTATTATTTAACTAATCACCGAAAAGCTATGAAACTTTCCTCACAATTATTGCAAAGTAACGGTATTTTCCATCTCGAGTATGACCTAGAGATCCTACTAAAACCAATTCCTTAGACATATCAAAACTAATCCTATCCGATGCTTGTGAGTACAATCTGGATAGTTTTACAATCTAGTCCACTCGAAATCTGGTTTGAGACAGGAAATTTGCCAGTACAATAAGACTTTTTCCATAGTTTTTTTTAGCAGCTATCGGACAAATGCAAAGAGTGCGCCACCTAATACGGTAAAAAAGGACAATAGAAAAACTCATTTTCCACCCATCTTTACACTTACCGTACTATTTGCTATATCTTGCGTTTCAGGTACAGATTAAGAGATGCCTTTGAGACAGATATTTATGACGGTGCAAGAAAACTTATAGCTGCAATTTGGGACGCACATGGATATATTTGGCATGGTAAGAGAAAGTTAATTTAGTTTTATATACGTCCTCTGAATAATTTTGTCACTTACCCTAAATCATATAGCACATATTGCAGCTTCCCTAAAGGTCGCCGGTTCGATTGTGAAAAAAGTGTAGCTTTCAAAACTGGACCCAGCTGTTCTTCATCATCGGGCTCTCAGTAAATAGTCCTGACTAATGAAACAGCTGGTCTTAGTCAGTAAGAAAGCTTCACAATATACTACACTCAATTCTACACTCATCCTTCACTCATATTTAAGTTAAAATATGCACAGGTGGCGTCACCATCGCATATGAATATAAATATTCTAATAGGTAAGACAATAGTAGGTACTAGTAGGTAGCTAAAAGTTAGTAGCTTGAGTACGTTATTAAGAAAATGTTTGAATAGGATCTTCTGGACCTTGGTCACTAGTCATGCTTGGTCATAAGCTTGCCTGAATCAAGTGAGATATGGTACTGATGTTCTTGAGATTTTACAGACCTTTAAACTCAGAGTGAACGTTAACCCCAGTTACTATGCAGTCTGAGAACACAGGTTATTTATTTTTTTAGTTGATTACATTTAGAGTCTTTTTGAGCCACAATATTTTCTATAGACATGAATTACTGCAATAGGGTAGATGTAAACAAACATTTTGGAAAGTTTTTTTACACTGACATGTTGGGTAATTTATCTTGTAGGTCTATGTTATCATACTTTCTCTTCCTTTGTTGGTTTCCAAATAAAACAATTCAGTCCAGACCTATTTTATTATATGAATTTCTTACCAATCGAATTTGAAAGAAACACCCTTTTGATTTGTTGGTTTTAGGTTATGAGGTGAAAGGTCTTGAGAACATTCCCGAGAGTACACCAGCATTGTTCATTTACTACCACGGTGCCATTCCTATAGACTTGTATTATTTTTTATCAAGAGTATATCTACTTAAAAATCGTCTAATCCATTCTGTCGGTGACAGATTCCTGTTCAAAATACCAGGTAAGTTAAAATTTACATTCACACGTACTGTATAGTAAACTGATATTAACTTGAGAAGTGTTTAAACAAGTGCACAAACATGCCCGGCTGGCAAAAGTATTAACAGCATTTCAGGGATGAACATTGATAGTCGATGTTTTTGAAACATAGATGGTAGGTTACCGATGTTTTTGATAGCCTACATCAATGTTCTCAACGGAAATCAATGTTTTTGGCCAACAATTCAAATATAGGCTACTAATGAAAATTTGAATGTAGTCTTGGAAAGAAATTCAGTTTTTGTATTTAATCTATTTAAAGACTGGTGGAATATTAAGTCCAAAAGTATTTAGTCAAGAGTAGATTGAGAGTGAGATAACTGTATCTTGTTGAGGTGCTTGTTCTAAATCCTGCCAAAGACAGTTCAAAAATCAAATTTCAAATTTTGATTTCATGCCCAACAAATATATAGTGCTTCAAATTTGATAATTTTTATTTGTATATTTTGTTTTTTAGTGCACACTTTTTGCACCTTATTCAAGTTCAGATTCTTCTGTAGGGATTGGTTTTCATTTTAATATTCAAAGATGTATAGAAGCGGAGATATTTGATTAAACACAGAGCCCTGTAATCGCTGAAAATGCCAAATGGGCACTCCAACGTCAGAAAAATGGCTGCCATAGGTGGATAAATTTAAATAAGGAATATTTGCATATTTGCACTTCCAATGACATGTGCTTTTGGCTAAAAATATTAAAACAAAAATCTTGAAGCAACCAAATATTTCTTTTCTGGACCATTTTCTGGATTGATACCTAACTAAATGTTCTCTTCCTCCTAGGTTGGGCCATCATTGCGGAAGCTCTCAAAGTGATTCCAGGAACGATACAGTCGTGTTCGGCCATCCTCAAGGAGAACAATCTCCTGGCCATCTCTCCGGGCGGAGTGTACGAAGCTCAGTTCTCTGACTCGTACTACAGGCTCATGTGGAAGAAGAGGCTAGGTTTTGCTCGGGTGGCACTTGACGCCCAAGTCGTAGGTTTCAACATATCTTTCTTTGTTAATGTAAAATATAGCCTACTCGTTTTAGATAGGCTCTTTGTACTCTTGCTAGTTTACCTTTGTATGTAAGGCATTATTTTACTGTAGTAAAAGATAAGGGAAGGGGGGAGGATAATGAAATGAATGTTAAAGGATGGGCCATTGCTTCCACTAGGTTTCATTATACCTCAAATTGTTGAAATCAGGCATAGGTCTTAAATTACTGACAGCTTCAGTCTATTTTAGCGAAGAAAAATGTTTTATTTACTAAATCACGTACCAAACTTAGAAAGACCATTGAAATTTTTACATATGTAGCATTTGTATGGTAGGAGTATATTCTTTTATTTAAGAGGAACCAACGTGTTAAATAGTACAGATAATTTTATACCATGGATTACCGTAAATCTTGTAAGCCCTGACCATTTGCTAGGCCTAATCCTTTTTATTGTATCAAGTTATGTGGGTAGGCCCAGTGTGTATGCTAACGCCTTTTCTGTACTCTATTTTCAAGAATAAAGTATTCTTATTCTGATTCTAACAAAAAATATGTATACACATATGGAATGTTAACCAAATTTATTTATAATGTTATAATCACAGTTTCATATTTTTGTACAATGAAAATCACTGTTTCAACCTTGGTCCTGTATATCTGACAATTTCAATTTGTTTTCAGCCAATAATCCCCATATTCACCCAGAATGTGCGGGAGTCATTCAGATCAGTCGGGTTCTTTCGCAGAGTTTGGCTCAAGCTGTACCAGTGGACCAAGTTTCCTCTGGTGCCCATTTACGGCGGATTCCCTGTGAAGCTGAGGACTCACGTCGGAACTCCAATCCCTTACGATGGCTCACTGTCACCCGAGGACTTGGCAGCTATTGTAAGTAGCACAATTGTGTTCTTTTATCGTACTAGTTTCAATTTAAATCCATTAAAACTATTGGTTTAAACAACAATGGTAAAAGTCAGTTTTTTTTGTGATTTTACTTCAACTATAATCTGCTAAGCTTTTTCTATTCTCGTCTCTCCAGGTAAAGCTTCTCTTTTACGTACTGTTGGTGGTCTATTTTCACAATTCATTTTAATTCTAGGGGTCAATGTGCCATACACTTACTTTGGGTTAGGCCGTGTCCAGTCAAAATGTTAACGATTCTCAGACATAAATCAGATCCAGTCAAAATCGGGTTGCTTTGGAAAGTATTGATAAGTTTAAAATTAATTGTTATTGTTATACTACAATTACTTTGTACGTCTTCTGGGATCACAGCAAAATCGTGCACATTTCCTGTGGTTGCAGCGAAATTGTGAATTCCTTGTGGACTAAATTGTGTGACTATTGTATTTGTTGAGTAAGTTTCTGTACGTATGACATAATGGATAGAAAGTATGAGTGTGCGTCAAAAATTTATTTAAAATCAGCTTTTAATTTAATATTCATATAAGACTACTAACATTCTACATTTTTTGGAGTACCGGTATGTGGTTTTATCATTTCATGGTGACAGGATTTATGTCACATACAGTATTTTAATATTTATTCAAAATTTCCAACTTTTCTTGTACTTTTGTGTATTGTACTACATTGTGTTTTTCTGCATGACTTTTTCCAGGTAGGAAGTGCTCTTGAGGAGCTTATCGCCAACAACCAGAGAATCCCAGGAAGTATCCTGCGTGCATTGATGGAGAGGTTTTACGAACCAAAAAGCAGCGTGAAGAACAAATGATGCAAGGTTGTATGAGTGTTGTAGAACACTTTGGACTATAGAACACTTCAGGGTAGTTAGTTGTATACCAAGCCATGGTGAGGCAGGGAAGGCTACATACAATCAAAATACGGTGTTCACTTAGTGTATTAACGTTACATTAAACTTACGACTTGAAATCATAACTCAATGCTATTGAGAAAATCAGTACAAGTATTTGATTAATTTTTATTAGATATATTTACGTTGTTGGCACAAACATGATTCTCGTGAGATATGTTTTTTGGATTTTTAAATCTTTGGTTTATGATTTTGAGATTTTAATTTGACCTAAAACACTCAGCTGTGTTGCTAGTTGAACTTTGCTTTATGTTTGGTTGTGATTTAGTTTGGTTTTCTTACGGATCTCGATAAGTGCTCCCATGGATTTTATTTAATTTCATGATGAATGATTTTATTTAAATATTACTTAAGTTAAGGACTTCAGCGTTCCATACGTTCATAGCGTACGTTTCATAGCGTTCTCTCTATTAAATGTTTAAGTAAAACTGAATTTAGGTACTGTTTTATTATTTGATGTGCTATAGCACAATTTTACTGTGTAGGGAAGGAATCTAAAGGATTGTTATGGATGGATGGGGATGGTTCCAGCAGATACCTCATATTCTTTTTTTCTTAGTTGCTTTCCAAAAGTGACTAAAAATCAGATAACCTCATATACTGGTATTTCGTGAGTATTTAAATAATAGGCTGTGTTTTAATTATCTTCCCATATTAGTTAAAGCCATTCGTAAAATATCTAAAACAAATAGGTTTGTTATTTACATGTAAGTCATGTTATATTTCATGAACACCTAATTACTTCTGTTAATTAGTTAAGGATAACAATGCTAATACCTGGACAGTCAGACTAGTACTGTATAATAAACTAAAACTAGTCATGATTCAAGAAAACCGGAAACCTAAAAATTCCTTACCAAAATAAAACTTAAAAATGTAAGAGTATTTCTAAAATATTGAAACACTGCAATATTTGAGCTACAAACTATGGATATTGTCAACCTTTTTATAAGGACATATTTCGTTCCCATCGTATGAATGACCAAATTGTAGTCTCAAAATAACGTGTTGGAGGGTTTGTTATTTCTGTAGCAGGCGTTATTTCATCAGGTGCCACCCCCATTTTCTCTCATACCCCTACATAATCTTCCTATAAGGTACTTAAAACGGTTAAAAAATAAAGAGTTCACATAAATGGTATGTGGTAAATCACAGACGGTAACAGGCTCTACTCATAGAAGTGGAGATAGAGTTGACAAATTTGTGTTTTTGGGTCTTCCTTTAATTTCCTTTCTTATTTTTGCCTCTGACTTCTGAACAAATTTTTTACATTGCAAATAAAAATTTAATTTATGTAATACAGCAATGGCAGGTGGTTGATAATAATGGGTATGGCCAAATGAATACACTTTTATTACTCGAAAATGTGTGCCAAGTTTGGCTAACCAACATTTTTGGTTGGAAAGGTGCCCTAAACAATTTCTATCAATCCAAATAAATAAAATTTAAGATAATTTAAATAACTGAGAATTTTGAGAACTTGTGTTGAATACAATGAAGGCAATGACTGTATTTTTACATTTAGGCCTAAAACCCCCTTGTTTTGTGCAATTCTTTTAGAGTTGATCGGTGCTAATTGACCTTGAGTATATTTAGGTATTGATGCCAATAATTGTGTATTAGTTTAGTATTATTGTGGTGTAAGGTGGTACATTCCTCGTCAAGTGTTAACGGTTTTAACAAATTATACGTTTGTGGCCATTATACTTATGTATCTGTGTTATACTTTAATTTTATACTCTGTGTATTTTGTACTTAACTTAGTGAATCCGGTCAAACATATTTATAGCTACTGTTTATTTGAATTGTTATGTTATTTATGACAAAGTATAATGATTGTACTGAAAAAATGTATATGTAAATATACTGTTGTATGTTAATAATTCTTTTCATTTATTTTCCACTCGTTTCATTGATGTTTTATGCTCGTTTTGTCTGGAAAAACCCCCCTGCCACCCTCTTTCACTACCCTTTAAAGTAATATTTTTTTTCCTGTATTAACCTTCAAAATTTGCTATCTTCAAAAAATGTGCATGAACACATTCTGTTCATTGTACCCAGATAGTTGAGTTACAAAATAAATAAAACCTACTTAAACATTAAATTACATCTCTTAATAACAATCACATTACCTAATATTGAAGTAGTACTTTAAAATGAAAACAAATCCAATTATATGTGACAGGTTGCCGAATGAAACAACAAACTTAGCAACAAATAAATTATTATAATAAAATAATGTAACTCACTTGCTGTATTAACAAATTTATGAACACAAAATTGTAGCTTCTGAGAAAATACAATTCCGAATTAGAATCCGCGCTAAGTTATAGGCCTACAATAATAAGATAAAGATTGTCATGATTAATTCCATTTTAGAAAGAGGGGGGAAAGGCGACAGACCGAAATGAATTTAGAATTTTGACTAACTTTAGCTGAGTGCCCTCCGTCCGTAGCCAAGTTGGCCGTGGAGGGGCATCAGCCAATGACGTCAGTTCACTGCTGTATAGTGCTGCTGACTAACGATCACTTGGGGTGTTGGACAAACTGTAGTTGCGCAGTTACCGGGTTCAGCGAGGAATTTGCTGAGAAGAGCTCAGCGAATTCCAGCCACGCACGTGACACTTCTTGAAACATTGGCCTGGCCTTGAGTTATGGTCGCCGGAATATGCCATGGTGAGGCAACTGGGCTGACACAGAAGTTGGGAGGTTAAAAAAGTTCAATATTACAGACCCTCCTTTAATATTTGAAATAAAGCTAAGCTTTTGTGACGGTATTGACAGGGTTTCTTGAGGGTGTAGCAAAAAAACCTCCCCAGCTGATATGTAATGGGTTTGGGAATTTTTGGAGCCGTTACATATACATTTGACCTAAACATAGTTAAGTGATAATGATTATTTCCATTTTAGGCTGATGTTGGCTAAAGTTTAATGCTCAGTTGACCTTCCACCATTGAATTTGGGAAATCTAAGTAGACATTCCATGGTGTGGCTATTCTCAATTTTTCGCTTAAAAATATAACATTCTTTAACCACTCACATAGTGTGCTGTAAAAATTTTATTTTCTCTGATAATTAATTAAATTAATGTCACTTAGAAGATACTATAGCATCAAGTTGTCCTTTCATTTTGGCTTGGTTAAAAAGTTTGATTAGACAATCGGTCATCAGTGCTCTCTGTTGGCGATTCAATTCAACTACGTCGATTCTCATTCTAGAATTGGTAACATCAATTGAACCCATTTCAACCCATTTGGTTTTTTTTTTTTTTTTTTTTTTTTTGGCCCATTTGGCCATCATTTTTTTTTGAATTGGCACGGTAATGGAATGCAAACTACTCTACGAAGTCAAATCTTCTGCTCACCGGAAAATTTCAGAAAGAAGGTCGTTTGTAGTTTATGACTTTGACTTGCATCCTTGAGCTCCTTCCACAGTCCACCTATGGTTCTTAATTTTTCTATTTAGAATTCCATTCCGAGGTCTCTTCTCTTCAACTGTCTTACAACAGGTTCTTGGTGGATTTGTGGAGACTGTATAAAAGGTGTTCAAAAAAGGCAGGGACATAATTTTACCTAGTGATTCCTTGGGTTTAAATAAATAAAAAAGTTATAACATATGTCCTATCATTTTTCGATTAGCGTCTGTCTATCTTTATGTGTTTACAGCAAAAACATTCACGGTTTGAGCTACAGCGTTGAGATTCTGCAAAAGATTTTTGTCTTGTTGACCGGTTATTTTGTGTAAAATGAGAATAACACCCTTTATTTGTTTCAAAATAGTGGGTATTTTAAATATTTGATGCCAACATTTTACAAAAAAAAAACTTTTAGTTTTACCAAAGTATTTCAAGATACATAACATTTAGGAAGTTTTATGGAGATTTCAACGATATCTTATTAAGCTTAGTTCAGTTGAGAACAGTTGTGTAGCAAAAAAGTCTCTTACTTTGAAAGTCCTTGCTATATTGTATTTAGATTTCAGTTTGGAGCTATTTAAAACCTCTTGAGGTTGCCTCATCTTCTTGCGTTTTATTCTACCAATGAATTGTTATTTGTTAACCCAAATAAGGCGCCAAAACATCACCAAGCAAAGCTTATCATTTTGTGCCCTTTTTATCTAGACTTAGGAGTGAAAGGAAAGAAATTCTTAGTCTCTAATATAGAATTTATTTATAACTATTTAAATATTATATTGTATTTAAAACTTTAAAAACTGCCTAACAAGTAATATGTATTTTACATAGTATACAGGTAGTATTTGTAAGAATTTACATAGGTTAGTAAGCGTAAAGAAACTAAAACTATACAGTGTTATCTTACAATAGTTTGCTGCCAGCAAAATGAAAAGTAAGAGTCTTTAATTAAAATATGTGATGCAATTTGTGTAAATTTACTTATTAAATCCAGCATAATTGATGGTTAATGATTACTTTGATCAAATAGAAACACAAAAAACAACCCCTATTGCAGGAAACATACAGGCAGTTAATATACAGTTGCTTTTTTGTGTTTTTAAATGCCATAAACTTTTTTAAAAATCAATAATATTTTTTTTGTATTTTTTGTACCAATTAAATTGTTAGCATATTTCCTCTTTTGCAAGGAACAAAAACCAGCATTGTTAAATATAATGACACATTATTAGAAATCATATCCATCATATCCATACTAAATTAAACTATTGACTTAAATGCAGTTTATTTCTTTTACAGTATATTCAAGATATTTTATGGTTGTCTGTTACAAGGTTTTTTTATTGTTTGGCCAAGCTAATTTTACAAAACATATTTAGGAATGTTTATCAAATTACAGCACTTTTTAACAAAATATTGTTTGTTTGTATACGTACAATGTTTTATTTTAATTCTTGAACATTTTATCTTAAACTTTAGACAAATATAATAAATTTTATGTAATTATAAAAATCAAATAAATATCTCAGAAGTATTGTGGAATTGTTTTGGTTTAATATGGGAACTTAAGGAAAATGGAGCATTTACGTTTGGTGCTCGACAGAAAATTATTTAACAATAAACAAACTGTTCCTACTACACAATTTCCTGTAATATATACAACAGAAGGAAACAGGAAGAAATAACCAAGTCAGGTCATTTAGTTCTACAATCTTATGAGGTATTCTATTATTTCTACTGTACTGATAACTCTGGATATCTAATTAATATTGAAAGACTTAGTGTATAATTCTACTGCTAAAAAGAATTGTTAAATGCTAGAAAGATCTATCAAAAAATTAATACTTTAATTACATTAGCTATTTGACTATTTTATAAAAGTTATGTACAAGTATCAATCACATATTTTATCCATATATTTACCAAAATCCATGTTATGTGTTTAATGATAGCCTGTTCTTACAGTTGGTTATGAAAATACGTTCTTGTGATGGAAATATTTCATAAAGTTATCTGAATTTCACAGCTATTTTGAGTTAAGTTTACAGAATGAAAACAAAAAAATACAATGCATATTGATTTTATATAACTCAATACAGGAAACTTGGATTTCGAATTCTTCATTTCCATTTCAAAATGCCTTTTAGATAGTTCTGAATGGTTTTACATTATGGTTTTAAACTAGTTTGTTTTATAATAATTTCAATTATATTCCTAAATCCTATCACTTTAACTTTGACTAGTCAAAGCAATGAATTTGAAATTTCATTTTCTGTCCAGACAGATACTGTATTAAAACCCAATTGATGAATTTTATTGATGAGATTTATAATTGCGTTTAACTTTGATAATGGAATATGAAGCATAAAAGGAAGCAAATTTGAGTTTTTGACTGATAATTAACATATCTGATTCTGGTGGGAACAGTGAAATAAAACAATGAAAACAGTGATGGAGGATAGTGTTGGGAACCACACGTGAATATTTGGGTGCCCAGAATAACAACAAATCTTAGAAAATATCAAAATTATCATACACAACTACAACCGTTACTCTTTAAAGCGTTTAAACCCATTCTATTATTGGTTTAAAAGTTCTAAATCCCACAATACATTTCAAGACTTAGTTCGTGGGAAATTAAAATGTTTATCTAATTACTTTTTCCAAAATATAAAAATTGTCAAACTTCAATTTTCATTTCCAAACTGGGTTTAAATCTCACAAATTGTACTGTGTGATTTTGCCATAAATCTATTAACTACCTTTATTAGTGGAAACGGTGAAAGTAATTATTCTAGAAAACATTTTGTAGTGACCATCTGAATTTTCCAATCATACTGTTTTTCATAAGCATGTGACATATAACTTCCTCCAACAAACACACTGTTCAAACTATTTTAATCCGATGATTAACTAATCAAAACACTAAATTATTGAATCTAAAATTTGTAAAACTATCTCGATACAAAAGTAGATCGTTTTACACAGGGTGAGTACAACAGAAAGTTATAAATTAATGTGGCAGCCCCAGCTCATAGTTTTGAAGGGGTTTTTACATGAAGGAGCGAAAGACCTACTTGCCCAGCAAATAGTCGGACTAATTGCGACAGCAATTATAAAACTTGAGAGTTAATACATACTCTGTTGAGTCAACTTAACAATTTACCTTCTGTTTTAGTCAACCTGTGTAAACCAAGAAACATTTAAACAAACACATCTCGAAACTTCTTTGATAGTTAATGTTTTCAATGAACAAACTTAGCTGCTAAGTGATTGTCAAAATATAAAAGTACTACACTAATTGCATATTGGAAGAGGATAATCAGAACAAAATGATTTGTTTATTGAATTGTACAGTAGATGAAACAGTTAATGAAAGATGGTTGAATCCTAGAATTTTCTCAAGTACACGAAGATTATGCGTAAAGGTAATTTACAATATTGTTTTTCATCATTATAAAGTATCCGGTCTTTGTGGAACCTTTAAAAAGATTTTTCCTAAAATTTTTAAATAATTTATAAATAAATAATTTTACAAACTAAAAGAGGTTAATTAATCAAAATTATATCTATCATATTTAATGACACATGTCTTAATACTTTGCAATATTGTCATGGAGGTGGGATGCTACAATAACCCCTTATTGTATTAATACTGACAGTAGAACAGGTAATAGTGGAATGAAATGTTAAAATATGAAGGCAATATTTACTATTCGTTTAGGTAAATGATATATTCATATTGTAACTTGAATATTTCAACAAGCTTTCGTAAATATTTACACTGATGGATCCATTATGTAATATTCATGTATTCCGTTATAAGTTTTAAGATTCTAATACTCGTAACCTACTTCTCATCATGTGCTTCCCTCTTATTGACAAAGCGAGGAAATATTTTCTGCAGTTAAGAAATATATTTTTATTAATAAGTACCAATACAATACTTTAAACATTTACAACTAGTATAGAATAAATCATAGTTTGGGGTTAATATTTTTATTTTTTTAGTAAAACCCGATTATTGACACACCGCTAGGAAAACACATACTAAACGAATAAAAACCGTACAAAAATATTTTATTACTATTTACTTCAATAAATTAAGCTGTTTTTGTGTATCGTTTTAATATTATTTTATCTTTGAGAACTTGATTATAATTTTAATATAGATTTATAGATAATTTTAATATATAAGAGATATTAGAATCGTTGATGGATAAGATGTTTTTGGTAATAATCATCAACACAAACTATTTTGTGTAAATAAAAAAAGTCATATTGTAATTCAATTCTATAGTTCGGCCGCTTAGAAAACGACCTGCGTGCTAATGCTAAACCAATGGTGGAGGAGGTCACTTTCTAAGCGGCCGAACTATAGTTGCACAGTCAACTAAAACCTTTGACTATTAGTCAATGCTAAAACTAAGCTTCCATGGATGTCCAACAATCTAGGAGGGACTTGAGCCCACCCTAAAAGACCGTTAATAAAATATTTTTAGATTGTGCAGTAAAAACAAAAAGTTAATAATTCAGGCATATGACCGAGGAGTGTAAGAAATACGTAACGCAGACATTTTATACCTAAATTTAAACTATTTTCTGGGGGAGGACCCCTGGACACCCCTTTTTACTGGGAGTTATTCCATACTCCTCAGACTCTCAAAGCCCCCATAATGGAACAGTTAAATGGACGCCCTGCGGCTAATCCTTAAGTATTCGAAATGGTGAACTAATAGGGTGAAAATGTAGAAGCCGTCGTGAATAGCCAACTTTTTTTATACATTGTCCCTTCATATCCAGCAATTTTTCTGGTCAATGCTGCAGGAAGATGAAAATAGTTTTAACCGTGTAAGTAGTAGTTCAAACAAGCACATGATGTGAAGTAGGAGAGCGGCCCGTGAAATATGTTGGATTTCCAAGGCAAAGACCTACCATCTACCCACCAAGCTTCTACACTAGCTAGACCAAGCCAGATCAATCTGATCATTTCTGTGGCCTTGGCTCTGAGCAAGTCAGGTGTCTTTGAGCCTTTTCATTTGCTTTTCACTTGAGCTTTTTGTCAGTTATATTATACTCTTAATATTATACCAAACTCGATCGTTATACGTTCTGGATTAAACCGTAAGTTTAGTAACGGTTACGCGAACCTCGGATAGCAAATTCCAAAAAGATTTACCCTACCTAGCTATACTTTGAATTTAGACTTACCAAGTGCATTTAATGAAGTGCAGTTATTGTTTTTTCGTAGTTTAAAAAGGTGGATGAATTAGATATGCAGTTATGTACAAACTTAAGTTAAGATGGACCACTCTAATTGTGTTTGAAAACTAGAATCTACTAATATGTTTTGTTGATGTCAGAACTCAAGATAATGCAAAATAATACACACAATTTTGTTTTAAAAGAGAATCAGTTATACGTTTGTTCAATCTGTATTATACAGTAATATTAACTGAAAGAAACGATATTAATCAATCAAAATACAACAATTTTCAATGAATAAAAGATTGTGGTTAGTTTCTAGCTCTCAAACATCCAGTTTAAAATTAAAACATTTTACACAAAATTTTAATCACAGAACTGTGTTTCTTACAATACCGTATTTATTACTTACTGAACAGTACTATACAATCTATTTCTACCATAGGTTTCATTAATTAAAAACAATACTCCTAATCTAAATCTACAGATTTTAAAATAATAAATCTAAAAAGGAAGCATTGTAAGCTTATATAATGCACATAGTGTCCGGTTGATTTCATTACATACAAGATCATACTTTGGACCCAATAAGAAATGTAGCTTTCATAAAACTCCTCCCAAGATATCAACTCCTCATTTGACCTTAAAGTAATTTGTTTAAGGGTTCAATTCTTAGAATAACAATTGACTGTTTTGGTACGTTAAATAGTAAGTGAACCAGTATCTAGCGCAGAGGTTATCGAAATATCGACAAATAAATTCCTTTCGATTGAAACTCCTTAGGTATGAGAATAGAGACACAATAATTTGTATTATTCATTGCGACCCTTGGTTGGAATATATTATTAATCAAATAAAATGATTACCTTATCCATCCACATTTGTTGGTATGACGACTTGTTGTTCCTTAGAACTTCATTAGGTCATTTTGTATGCAATAACATCATCAATGTACTAATACATTGTGGTATGTCGATAGATTCTTACAAAAACGACCACAATCACAATAACTGACACCTTGTCATTTTGATAAAATAGTTAAATGGAATAAAAATTCATTAAAAATGTACATGCTGGCAAGCACTGTCTATCACTGCCACTGACTAAATAAAACTGACTGAATCATGATGTTTCTTCTTCTCTCCAGTGCCACCTGTATTTAAGTTTGTTTTGTTCTTATTCTATACTTCTTTTATTAGTAACTTGCCAATATATGTATCAAATATAATATTTTACTGGAAAGAAGTCTGATCATTTAGAATGTTGCATGGTCAAGTTTTTTAGCATTGTAAATTTAAAAAGCCTGTAAATTTTTAATCAGTTTTATCAATTTTTACTCCATATGGCAAGTTTCAATCATTGTGATTGTGATAGTTTCTTAAAGAGTTATTGACATACCACAATGTATTAATACATTGATGTACTGTATTAATACAAAATGACCTGATGAAGTTCTAAGGAACGAAACTAGTTATCATACCAACAACTGTAGTTGGATAAGGTACCTAATCATTTTATTTTATCAACAATAATTTGTAATAACAACTGTAATCCAGCCATAAAGAAAGAAATTGTGCATTTTAATTTAATGGCTATTTTGAGGTGTGCCAAAGAAAGATTTTGGAAAAAGATTATAAAATAAATAATTTTACATATGCTCATACATACTACTGTAACTTTTTAGTGTTTTCTTTCCTAGGAAATCGTTAAGTGCCTTGATGGGATGGTGCATTTGATGAATATCTAATGTAAAATTTAAAGCGGGTTGTTTGTAATTGCATACATTTTATCCTTCAGTAGCACATTTTGTTTGAAAGGGAGAGTGTTAGCATTTTTCTTTCAAAAACAACATATCCATGCAAAAGCTTACGACCAGATGTAAGTACATACCAGTTCCTAAAGTAACTTGTTAAGCCTATAGGTCTTTAACTGAATAAAATTAATACGCTTTAGAGTAAAAAAGTACAAAACATGCTAAAGGTTTTGTGATAGAAAAAGACTTGAAAAAATCAATAACTGGAGTTTTACAACATTTAGAATTTAACTACGCAATCTGTGATTAACACTTTCTTAATTGCAATGGTTATTATTACCAGAGCTTTGGAAAAAAATGTTGGGTTTTATTGATGAAAAATGTGAGAAAAAACTTGAAAATTGATCAAACGCTTGCATGAGAAAATTTACACAAGTTAGGTCCATTTCGAAGTATAAAAGCTAGGAACTAAAACATAAAGTGTGGCAAATTAATTTGACATTCTCATGTTGATAAACAATGATCAGGATTCTGATCAAGCTCTTGATTGTTTTAAAATATTCATTACATCTCAGCTTCATTGGTTGTGATTGCTTTTTATCACACTAACACGACAAATGAATCACAGGGACTACAGATCACAGCTACTCTTTGGCTTGAAAAGCACAATATAAAACAATACGGTAGTAAAAATATATGTGCAATTAAAACATTTGAAATCAATCGCAACTGTGATTTAGGAAGGGATATTTTACAAATAGAATCCGCTAACTCAAATCCTCCGTAGTGAAACTTAATTGTTTAATATCACAAGACGAATCTACAGACAGTAAAACACTGGTCCTCGTCACAACATTATGGCTCCATGAAGGTCCCACCGTTACGAAGACCCGCTTTCAGCTCGGGTGGAACCTGCTTGCGGAAACAGTCGTCGAGGAAGTTGGCCATCGACCGATACAGATGTTTCTTGACTCCACTCAAGGCGTGGCTCTCGTCCGGGTAGATCTGCAACTCACGATGTTATCATTTAAGAAAACATATCCCGCTTATCTGGAAACTTGCAACATTCGCATTTGAGAAAACACTCGAGAAACTTATCATTGATTAAATTATACTACAGAAGTAAGGAAGACCCCCTAATTTATCTTATCCATAAAATGTTTACCCTGTTCTGCCTACTCTATAGACAATATCACCCTCAGGTTCACCTGTTGCCTGTATATGATGCCGGCCTGAGAGAGAGCCCTCGCCAGCACCATGGATTGCTGCAGATGTACGTTGTCGTCTGCCGTGCCGTGCACCAGGTAGAACATCTTGTCCTTGAACCCTTCCACCTGACGACTCAGGTCAGAGTCCTGGTAACCCTTGTAATTTCCGGAGAGTGTCGGCATCCCCATGTATCTCTCCGTGTAGGCAGAGTCTGAAAAACATTTGTAAAAGTCTAAATCAGTTAAAGATGATGGAATTCAAGCTTATCAGAAATTATATCCACCCTCCTTCATCAACGGAAGATGGAGCCAGCGACAATGGGAGCAAGCTTGTGACCTACTTTTTAACCACTCAATGGTAATAGCTCTTAGAGAGGATACTAGTCTATTAGATGGAACCTGTCTCCTAACCCCTTCTTCTACCGGAGACTGTTCCGACTCTTGTACCAATAGCCAGTCCCTAGATACAGAGTATAATACAGACTTAATATTAACCTGGATAACCATTTGAGTGAAGTTTTCAAAATGGAAATGTAGTTTTGTTGCGAAGCTTACATTACTTTAGTAGTAAACAGTATTTTTAATTTAGATATTTAGTTGTATTTTTAATATTCAATAATTTTTCTGCAAAAGGTTTTTCTTTTATAATGCCCAAACACTACCAAAACAAAACTACCTTTTATAATAAGTTTTTTTCATCCTATCCCAACTCTCATTAATTCAACTAGGATTTCTGATTACCTCCAATCGATGAGGGGTTCCTGTAGTGTCATTCATATGCCTTTGCATTTAACATATGTTTTATAATTTAGTTTGTTGTTGTTGTGATGATGACTCTTGTTGAATAATAAACACATTCTTTACTTGCAGCATTTATTAGTATTTTATATTATCTTACATGGTGTCAGGTTGTGAAATCTATATCTATAATAGGCTAAGCCGTTTTTTGTTAATCGAACTCCTCCGTTATTATTCAACCGATTTTGACGTTTGAGGTCTCAAAATAAATTTTAAAACGTGTAGTTGTGCCCAACGGTATTATATTTTTGATCAAGTCGTTGGTAAGGGCGTCAGAGGCCCTTAAAGTCAGTTTTTTCTCCATAAGGATAACATGGGAGTTAATTTTTATTTATAAAAACATAAGAAATTGGTGTTTGTTATGACTGTTAATGTATATTAAAGATTAATTATGTTTTGGGTACCTTAAAGTGTACTCATAATGGATCATACTACTTTATTTTAATGCTGGGAATAGTAAAATTTAGTTGAGAATAAATTACCATGATTTACAAAACTGGACCGGTACTAAAAAATCACAAATCTTTGACATTCATTAATTTGACACGAAACAGCTGATCTACCAGACAATTATTTATTCATAAATCAAAACAAAGCAAATCCTATACTTCATGATTGTTGCTATACAAAAATTTGGTTTGAACCAACAACGTGTTTAATTTTTACTTTTGTGCTTATTTTTAGTTTTCAGCTATGAAATTACCAAACAACGTTTATGTGATATTTTTTATATAAGCTAATAGTATTCACGAATTGTCGCAAGAACTTGACAAGTTAGGTAATTTGCATTATGCCACGGGGAAGAAGAGTAGGTCTTGAAAACAGGCGAAGGCGGAGACTGATGAGAGATCTGATGAGATTAAGGAGAGTTGAAGAACATAGACCTGGTTTGATTTCAAGAGATCCCGAAAAACATTCACTCGGACAAATGAATTGCATATGCAGATTTTGTGATGCGCTTTACTTTGGTACTGAAAAGAAAACGACAGGTATTTATACATCATGTTGTCACAGTGGAAAGGTCACATTACCCAATGTAAGAACAAATTTATTTTTAAAAGAAATATTTACTGGGGATACTGAAACCACTAGAAACTTTAGAAAATATAGCAGAAACTATAACAACGCCTTGGCCATGGTGAGTACCAGTAGTAAAATTAAACCTAACCGTGCTGGGCCGTACGTATTTATTGTAAACGGTCAGGTACACCATAAATTAGGCATAAGCCAGAATCTAGATATAAACCAAAATAACCAATACGCTCAAATATATTTTTATGAAACAGACCAAGCATCAAACATGAGATGCAATGCTCCTCAGAACATTGGGTGTGATCCTACTTTGATGAGAGAGCTATCACTTCTTTTAAGTGAAATCAATCCTTATGCTCAAGCATTTAAAACTATGGGAGAAATAATACGAGATACACCACAAGACCAGCAAAAGAACGTCCATATGGTAATTTATTCAGACCGGAACACAGATCAGAGACGGTACAATCTACCGAGCGCAAACGATGTTGCTGCTGTCTTTAAATCTGACGATGGTTGCCCTGAAGGGCCCCCTGAATTTGTTGTGTATCCTAAAAATGGGACCCCTGAAGATTTGGCTGCACACTGTTCAGGTCTTGATCCAATGGCCTATCCATTGCTTTTCCCTTATGGAGATGAGGGTTGGTATCGAGGAATGCCACAAAATCCGGATCGGGCAACTACACATCGAAACACTGTAACACAACTGCAGTTTGCGGCCCACAGGCTATCCGTTAGGCCACAGTATTCGGCTGTGCTGCACGGTGGTAAGGTTACACTTCAATATATAGTTGACATTTTTACCAGAATTGAAGGTGAACGTCTCGGTTTCATTCGTAGGGAACAGTCAAAACTTCGAGCAGAGCTATATATGAACCTTCATGACGCAATACGTGCACAAGCAGAAAATGAAAGAGTCCAAATAGGTAGGCAAGTAATTTTACCTCGGTCGTTTCAAGGTAGTTTCCGAAACCTACACAGCAATTATTTAGATGCAATGGCCATAGTCAGAAAAGAAGGTAAGCCCGATTTATTTGTTACATTTACGTGTAATCCGAATTGGGAAGAAATCAAAACAAACCTAAAGTTCAAAGAAGCAGCAAATATGCGACCAGACCTAATCACCAGAGTGTTCCATGAAAAACTTAAGATTCTACTGGAAGACATTAGAACCAACAATATTTTTGGAAAAGTGCGAGCAATCATATATACAATAGAGTTTCAAAAAAGGGGTTTACCTCACGCTCACATATTGGTGACACTAGAGGATGAAAATAAACTTAGAGAAGAAGAAACTATAGATTTGGCAGTTTGGGCAGAAATACCTGATTTTACTCACTATCCAGAACTTCACCAAATTGTTAAACGTCACATGGTTCACGGACCATGCGGAACTTTAAATCCAACTTCACCATGTATGGTTGACGGAAAATGTTCCAAAGGATTTCCAAAACCATTTTTGGATGTTACTAGAAACAACGACAACGGCTACCCTCAGTACAGACGTCGAAATGATGGACAGACAATAGACGTTCGGGGATGCACGGTGGACAATAGGTTTGTAGTTCCCTATAACCCCTATCTCTTGAAAAAGTTCAATGCTCATATAAATGTGGAAGTATGTAGCACTGTGAAATCTGTAAAATACATTTACAAGTACATTTATAAGGGATTTGACTCTGCATCAATTGAGTTTCGTAATGCTGACACAATTGTTTACGACGAAGTTCAAGGATACCTAAATGCTAGGTGGGTGGGCTCAGCAGAGGCTATGTGGAGAATTATGGAGTATCCAATGCATTTCCAATCTCACACAGTAGTTAATTTAGAGGTTCATTTAGAAAACCAACAACGGGTTACTTTCTTTGAGGGAAACGAAGAAAGAGCTTTAGAACCTAGAAATACAAAATTAATGGCTTGGTTTCGTTTGAATCAAACTGACGCATTTGCAAGAGAACTGACATACTGTGATATTCCAAAGTATTATACATGGCAAGACAATGGAAAGTTTTGGCAAAGACGACAGAGAGGACAAAGTAAAATTGTAGCACGTCTAAATGTGGTTTCTCCAAAAAATCCTGAACTTTTCCATTTGAGACTGCTTTTACTACATGTAAAAGGAGCACAGAGTTTTGCTGACATGCGCACCGTTGATGGTCGCATATGTGAAACTTTTCGTGAAGCTGCAATCACAAGAGGAATAGCAGAAAGTTCCCAGCTTACTAGGGATACTCTTGAAGAAGCAATTCTCCATGCGACAGCTAATAATGTACGCAATTTGTTTGGATGGCTTCTAGGACTGAACGTACCGACAGATTGTTTGGATCTTTGGAACCAGTATAAAACGTTTATGGTAGAAGATCTACAAAACCATGGATTGGTAGAGGAAGAAGCATTTAATCAAGCTTTGATTCAAATTGAAGACATTCTTATAACTCACAACACAAGTTGTGGCGATCTCGGTCTGCCTACACCTACCCGTAATAATCAATTGTTAGACCAAATTAATGAGGAAAATGAACTAGCTAAATTCGAAGAGTTGTATTTAGTAGCTAATGAGGAACAAAAGCGAATCATTGATTCAATACTTCAAAAGGTTTTGACCAATGATATTATTATGGACAATTTATTTTATATTGACGCTCCTGCTGGATGTGGAAAGACATTCATACAGAAAACACTTTTAGCCAAGCTTAAAAGTATGGACATGGTTGTGCTTCCAGTAGCCTTTACAGGTAATATTTTTTTGAATAAAGATTAAATTAATAATTTTTAACCTTAAAATTACACTTATTTGAGTTATTATACAAAGAAATTAGAAAAAACATTTTTATTTCATACAATTTCATTAGGGCATATTAATTGTATGGAAAACTTAGATTTTTATTAGTTTATTATTTGATTGTCATTGTTTTAGGTATTGCTGCCAGTTTAATAGAGGGTGGACGTACTTTGCATAATCAGTTCAAACTTCCAATTCCCATTTTAGAGAATTCTGTCTCTGGAGTGACTCCGAACTCTGCACATGGCCGTTACCTGGACTCCGCAAAATTATTGATAATTGATGAAATAAGCATGACACCTTCTGCGGCATTAACGGTTATTGATAGACTATTTAGAGACCTAACTAATAATCCAATCCTAAAACAAATTCCATTTGCTGGAAAGATAGTCCTTTTTTCTGGGGATTTCCGTCAAACATTACCGGTCGTCCCTCACGCTAGCCGCACTGTTGTCATTGAAAATTGTTTAAAAAGCAATCCATTGTGGCCAAAAGTAAAAAGGTTAGAGCTCTGCACAAATATGCGTTTGAACGAAGGAGAATGTGACTTTGCTCAATTTTTACTTCAAGTTGGAAACGGTACATTGCCAGTAACAGCTG